GCACACGTGCCTGGCGTGAATTTAAGCCACCGGGTCCGGGGACTCGAACCGTGGTCGACTACGTGGGAGTCCAGCGACATAGCCATTACGCTAACTGCTGGTCCCTCCTCTTGGGATTTTAGACACATACACTAACATACACATACACACACATACACCCCCAGTATGAGTTTTAACCCGCTGGGTCTGGGACTCCATGGGAGTCCAGTGACATAACCATTACACCATCTGCTGGTCCCACCAATATTCTATTTTTTTTAAATGGGGGCTGGCAGGTTAAGGTGCTAAACTCCCACATGGCTGACTGCAATTCAAGTCCTGGACCTGGCATCTTGTCTTTCTCATTCTCACTCTCTCTCATTCTGTTCTTCTCTGGTCAAATTAAAAAAAAAAAAAGAAAAGATAATAAAATAATTCTTATTTTATTTTGTTTTTATTTATTCATTCTTGCCTTTTTTTTTTTTTTAATTTGACTAGAGAGAGAGAGAGAAAGGAAGGGAGAAACAAAGCCCCCAGGTCCAGGATGCAAACCGGGGTCGGCTACATGGGAGTGTCCAGTGCCTTAACCACCATGCCACCTTCTGGTCCTGATAATAAAATAATTCTTAAAATTTTTTTTTAGGGACCAGCAGTTAACATAATGGCTATGTCGCTGGACTCCAATGTAATTGACCATGGTTCAAGTCCTGGACCCAGCGGCTTAAACTCACACCAGGCATGTGTGCAAGAGGAGAATAGAAGAGAAGGGATTGCAACGTGGCCATGCCCCCGAGGGTGAGTTCTCACTCTCTGTCTCTCTGTTTCTTCTGGTGAGCACACATGCCCTATAGCAAAAACCTCTTACCCCCAAAAAAATTATTTTTAAAAAATAAGAGATGTTTTTGACTGGTCTCATTCTTTGCAATCCTCAGCCCCGACCTTCCAGTGAGGTAGAATTATAGGCACCCTGTGTGTTTAAGTTGGACAGGAATTGAAACTCAGGCTTCCCAAGCATCCCAGCTGTGCTCAATTGCTTGGGCCACAATGGCTGCTGATACTGTGCAGTTTTAACAAGCTTCAAAGTGATAAGGGAGCTGCTGAATTATAAATTATACTTTGAAAAGCAAGGCTGTAGAGTAGTACCTTTCCTTTTTTCTGAATTCCCTCAGTACATAAAAGATTTCTTTCTCAGGACCAGCAGATGATGTAATAGTTACATCTCTGGGCTCCCATATAGTCAACAGTGGTTCAAGTCCTGGACCTAGTGATTTCAAATTCACACCAGCCATGTGTGCGTGCATGCCCAAAATCCCAAGGGGAGAATGGAAGAGAAGGAAATGCAGCATGGCCACCCTCCTCCAGGGGGAATTTCTTGCTTTCTGTTTGTTTCTCTCTGTCTCTCTGGCAAGCTTATGTGCCCTATACCAAAAATCTCTCTTAAAATAAAAGATAAAAAGATTTCTTTCTCAAAACTAGGGACCAGCAGTTAGCGTAATGGCTATGTCGCTGGACTCCCACGTAGTCGACCGCCGTTTGTGTCCCGGACCCGGTGGCTTAAAATTCACGCCGGGCGCATGTGCGTGCGTGCCCAAGATCCCGAGAGGAGAATGGAGAAGGGATTGCGGTGTGTCCATCCCCCCTGGGGGATGATTTCTTGCTTTTTATCTCTCTGAGTCTCTCTCTCTGTCGAGTGAGCACACGCACTGTGTAGCAAAAACCTCTAAAACAAACAAACAAATGAACGAACCAAAAAACTAGAAAGCAGGGACCATGCCTACTTTGCTGATCACTGACCCTAAGGGGCTGTCCGTTTCTCCATCTCAGCACCCTTGATATCGATGACAGTGTTTCACATCAGTGCGTGTCTATGTGACTAGTCCAATCAGAAAGAAAATGCTGTAGCTAGAGCTCCCTACCTGATGAATACGTGCCAGAGGACGTCATAATCGTCACGGTCACACACTGAAAGAGGAG